ATGATGCGTGTGCTAAGTGAGTGAACATCAAAGATCACGCAACAGAAGTGTGCGCGCGCTCTCTCTCTCTCTCTCTCTCTCTCCCGTTAAGTAACTTGTGCATTGTTTTACTTACTTGTTTTTGACACATCTGACCAAACTACAAGCTTTCCAGTGATGTCTGTGAGAAAGGTATATCCACTCAGCGTGCTTTGCTTATCAGCTCGCGCACATCAGCTATACAGGCGTTAATACTGAATGCTTAACATTATATTCATTGCATACGTATACTTCGTAGACATCCTTAATCTCTAATAACTCCATTCTGGTGTCATTTGCCATTAAAATAATGCCAAAAACTGCCTCAAACTGAACTATAAATTTGAGAATAAAGTTGTAAAAGCTCAATCCATTTCTTATTGGTTAAAATAACGAAGACTATCTTGTGTTTTTCACGAGCACCCACGGGATCGGCGCCTATGGCATTTAAAATAAATGTTGTTTGTAATGATCGGCACTATATATATATATTTTTTTATATACACATATATTCATTTATTTTTGTTCTGTTATGAATGCCACAAAATGTAAATTATTTGGAGTGAGGGGAAGAAAAAATCATGTTAGTGTTTATAATGTTTTTTTCCCCCCTAACATTCGATTTATTTAGACCTATTCAGTATTTAAATTATTTCTGAAAGTAATAGTAAAATGCGACTTACACACCATGCAACTTATGTTTTGTTTTTTTGTTTTTCCCCCCCTGACCTGGTGCAACTTTCTGGAAAATATGGTAAATTTAATTATATTATGCTGTAGTATTAAAAAGTACATATACAATGGGGACCATTTGCACCAATAAAACATTCATATTATGTTCATTCCTCCTACCCACATTAAACTTTAGTCTTAAACAATGTTATAATTATGAGGGGGTCCTTGGAAAAACCTCTCCCCTGTAAGGGGTCCCTAGCTCCAAAAAGTTTGAAAACCCCTGTGTTAGAAAATTGCTAGCATGTTTCTAGCATGATTATCATGTTGCTAGCATGTTTCTAGCATGAATAGCATGTTGCTAGCATGTTCCTAGCATGACTAGCATGTTTCTAGCATGATTAGTATGCTACAAGCATGTTACAAGTGGGTTAGCAAGTTACTAGCAAGATTAGCATGTTACTAGAATGGTTAGCAAGTTACTAGCATTTTGCTATCATGGTTAGCATATTACGAGCATGTTGTTAGCATGATTCTAGCATGATTGACATGTTACTTGCATGTTTCTAACATAATTAGCCAGTTACTAGCATGTTGCTAGCATTTTTCTAGCATGTTAATAACATGTTGCTAGCATGATTAACATGTTACTTGCATGTTTCAAGCATGATTAGCACGTTACTAGCATGTTGCTAGCATGTTTCTAGCATGATTAGCATGTTACTAGCATGTTTGCTAGGTTGTTTCTAGCATGATTGACATGTTAATAGCATGTTGCTAGCATGATTCTAGAATGATTACCAAGTCAATAGCATAATTAACATGTTAATATCATGTTACTAGCATGATTAACATGTTAATATAGCATGTTGCTAGTATTATTAACATGTTACTAGCATGTTGCTAGCATGTTTCTAACATGGTTAGCAAGCTACTAACATGATTAGCAAGTTACTAGCCTGTTGCTAACATTTTGCTAGCATGTTTCTAGGATGGTTAACAAGTTACTAGCATGTTGCTATCATGGTTAAAATGTTACTAGTATGATTAACATGTTAATAACGTGTTACTAGCATGATTAACAAGTTACTAGCATGAATAGCATGTTAACAGCTGTTGCTAGCATGATTCTAGCATGATTAGCAAGTTACTAGCATGTTGCTATCATGTTTCTAGCATGATTAGCATGTGAATAGCATGTCGCTAGCATGATTGACATTTTTCTTGCATGATTAGCATGTTAATAGCATGTTGCTAGCATGATTAGCATATTACTAGCATGATAAACAAGCTACTAGCATGTTTCTAGCAAAATTAGCTAGTTACTAGCATGTTGCTAGCATGATTAACAAGCTACTAGCATGTTGCTAGCATGATTAGCATGTTACTAGCATGTTTCTAGCATAATTAGCCAGTTACTAGCATGTTGCTAGCATGATTAACATGTTGCTAGCATGTTTCTAGCATGATTAGCATGCTACTAGCATGTTTGCTAGCTTGTTTCTAGCATGATTAACATGTTACTAGTATGTTGTTTGCATGTTTCTATACTAATACAGTTAAAACCAGCTAAAACCAGTTGATTCAGTAAAAACTCATCTAAAAACCAGCTAAGGCTGGTTGCCTAGTCTTAGCTGGTTTAAGTTTAAATATCATTTATATATATTTATTATTTATATAATATCATATTTATTAGGGATGCACCGATACCACTTTTTCCAGTACTCGCCCGACACCGATACTTTTATTTTTGGTACTTGCTGATACCGAGTACCGATACCGATATTTTTATTGCATTTGTACATTTAGCGTGCTTTGTTAATCAGCTCGCTCACATCAGCTATACAGGCGTTAATACTGAATGTTTAACGTTATATTCATTGCATACATATACTTCGTAGACATCCTTAATCTCTAATAACTCCATTCTGCTGTCTGGTGTTCTGTTGTCGGTGTTTCTTTGTCTGAATATGGCACTTATCACATGCTGTGTGGTATCGGCGTTTGGTA